TTTTTATTTTAAAATACAACCTATTAATAGATCGTAAAGGGTTTTAGTGCTTTTCCATTGCTGTGTTTTTTATGGTTAAGGACGTACAGAGATTTTTTTAATGGCTTCTGATTGGAATGAAACAATTTCAAAATACTTAGGTACTGCTATTAGGAATAAAATATCTTTACAATCACTAAGTTTTACTGCCTGGAAAAATCAAGGGAAGGCGTAGTAGGCGAACATATAGGAATTACTTAAACAAGATAAAGGGGAAGGTAAATATGGCGTCGCCGTCGTAAAAGGAGATCCGGGTAGCAGTTTATATTACAACCAGAGACCGTAAGGGCACAGTATCTTTACTTGAACTTTAAGTAACACACATTGAAGACATATACCTGCCTCTAGAATCTCGGATTTATTAAAATTCAGGTAAATATAACGTTTCAGAATATACCTACTACAAAATTTTTTGGTTATCTCTGTTTTTATTTTTTTTTGTTTCTTTCGTTTTCACAAAATTGGTTTTTTTGTTTTTGTTTCCGAATTTTGTATTTTTGTTGTTTATTTTTTTACAAAATTCGAGGAGCATAGTGTTAGTGAGCAAAATAAGGCTGTTTACATTAAAAACAGAAAATGGCCAAAAAAATTTGTTGGCGTAGTGACCTTTTGAGGTATCAATATAAAAGAATATCTACCTCAAAAGTTTTCTTATCCGCGTCGCTGTGTTCGTAAATAAATAAAACGCATTTAGAAGTCCATTTCAAAACGAGTCATAAACCCTTATGACTTGTTTTGACCTGGACCAAACACAAAGTAGCTGCTGTACTGCCTCTCATCTGTCTGTTATTTACATCATCACTTCAGGGCTCCAATTCTATTTCATAATACTAAAACTTAAGAGTATTGGCATACCAGTGGCTAACCGTCGAGATACTATTCAACCGACATAGTATTTTTTTGTATTTTAACGCAGCTAAATGCTCATATTACCGCTTGGTGACAGAAATTGGTAAGGCGGCAGTTCTTCCCTAGACGAACTATTTGACAAGAAGCCCTACTACTAAAACTGGATGTGTCTTGGTTATGTTCTAACGTATAACTCTGTAATAGAACCACGCTATTGTGTTTGGAAATAAACGATCGATTAATAATCAATACAAACAAAATAATAATTAACAAATTAATATAATAAACACGTCCGTTAAAAACTTAACCAGCCGTGTTCGAAAAACCCAATTCAACTTAACGTTAATTGATTTGAAATCAAGTTGTTAGACGGCGAACTTCGTGGGCGGTAACATCACGAGGTTACACGGATATCATTAACATCATCATAATATAAATGTCATTATCATCATAGAAATATCATATTAGGTTAACACAGGTGTGATTATTTAGCAGTAGTAATCTCTTCATTTACAGAGGTTATCAAAATATCATTGTCATCATAATCATCAATTACACCGTCTCATTGTTGAGTGAACTTTTTTAAAATTGGTGAGAGAACCTAACCTCTAAGAAGATTGTTTAGGTCGATGATTCTCAAAGTGGCTCTATATCGACCTCCAGGAGTCTATGTCAGTGAAAAAAATAGTAGAGGGTGCATGAGATGTTAATAGGGGTCCACGAGTCTGGGACCTATTTAGTCAAAGTTAAATTGTAAAGAAATTGGCTTTCTTTAATCCACAAATAATATTGCATGTACAGACGGCAGCATATCAAGTTACGTACTAACGGATCTTCTTCCGTTGCACTGGAGGCGATATTCGAAAAATGTGTTATGTGCATACATAACACTGTTATGAATGCACATAACACACAAAAATGTGTTATGTGCATACTGTACATACATAATGCTTTCTTATAATAGATATAAATTACCTATGAAGTAAAACATTTCACAACAAACAAAATATTCGGTTAAATTAATGTATAAAATGTGTTTATAAAATTTTTCACAAATCTTTTCAACTAAATTGTATGTTAAACTTGTCAAAATGAGTAGCACAGTTAACTTTCAAAAACACATATGATGTTTATTGGTTGTGAATTTGTAAAAAAAATCCATTTCAGTAAGGCAGGGGGTCTACGAGACGAAAAAGTTTGGGAACCTCTGCTTTAGGTCACATCTGTCGTGTCCAATGCGAGTTGAGAACATCATCGTTAGCGAGATGTATTTCTATTAAACACTCACAATATTTGTAACTTTAGAAATTAAAGTAATAATTAATAAGTACAGGGAGTTGAACCGACGGCTTCTCTGTTAAAAACCACACCGCTATGATCATCATTAGTAGGCTTAAATAATTAAATCTTATATATTAATAGGCTCATTTCAAAAACTGGTTAATAATTAAAAATTGAACACACTATGCTAATTAAATGAATTTATTTTTAAGCATTTTAATCAAAGATATTTAGAGTTGTAATAAATATGTCGCCATTAATGAAATTAGTTTCTATTTTGAATGAACTAGATTCATATCATTAGAACCATGGTCCAATAAATCCAGAGGATTGGTAATTGCGATACAAGACAGCGTGTCGGGTATTTAGTACCAAGAGGTACGTCAGATGTCGCTACGAGTAACAAATAGCCATTTTGTAACTAATCAAAGTTGCAATCTAATTTCTAGTGATAACAAACAAATCAACTAGATGGCGCTTATTGCAAAGATTTTTATGAATAGTGTCGGCTATTCTTTTATTATGTTTATTTATTTATCTATTTATTTTATTTGAGACAACAATAGTCCATTAACTAGTAAACTAGAATGAAAAAGTAGATGATATAATAGAAATTATAGTGATATATATTGGATATACACACGTATACTCATTATATATATTAACTCACATAGTGCACACATATGTATTAAGTATAACATAAAGATTCTCCTTATAATATTATACATAATGCTTATGATAAATTTTAACAATTAGCCACGTATTACGTTTAATAATATGGAGTTTGATTTTGGATTGAAAGAAGTGTTTTTTATCTATAAATGGATCTACTTCATTAAAATTATTATAGCTCCTGATTAATCTGGTGAGCACAGCGTTTTTGCCATAATTTGTCGAATGAAACGGTACATGAAACAAACAAGTTTGTCTAGTACGTCGCGCAGGCACTCGTAGGCACATTTGACATACCAAATCTGGGCAGTCCAAGCGACTATTGAGCGCATCGAACAAGAGATCCATGTCGAGCAACTCCCTTCGTTTTATGTTTAGGATTAGCTCCATTTATCCATATTAGTAAGCATTAATTCATAAATTAATTTGCAAACGCCATCTACTGACACGGAAATTTGTCAATGTAAGAAAATAATTTCAGCTCACGATCAATGTTTGAATTATGCAATTGAATATTTATATTAAGACCTTAATATCGAACGGAACATCCGTAGTACAAATAAACATATATTGTCTTGTTATCCACGCATAAGAAAAACAAAATTAATCAAAGCACACGTCGTTCCTTGTACAATCGTAGAGGCATAAATCGGCCATATCGCCACATCGGCAGTATCGCATTACGACATTGTCTCTTAGATATACAATTTATTACGGGGCTTATTCGAATCACTCTGAACACGTCACCCGTCGCATGCCGCTCATAAATTCTGTGACATATCGTTCGAGATTCCTTTCTTTATAAAAACAAAAAGTTCTCGTGCTCTTTCAATAAAACCTCTTACTGCTAGGCGTTAAGGTAAGGTATTTCAAGTTTCTTCATATGTATGTGACTTTGTTTAGGCGAAGGTACCTCTTATGGCGGGATTTGAATTCAAATACAGCACCAAATCATTATCTATTTGTACATACATATTTCAAAAGTTCATATTATACCTCGAAACTTGACCGGATAGTAGCTTTTTACGAGTATTGACACGTATTAATGTGTAAGTTTGAAAACGTGTACCAGATATCTTGCCTTGTCTCAAATTAATGATGGCTGCTCGTTTTTTTAATTTATCGATCCTTTTTTATTTGAATACTCGTCGTTTTACTCATCGGTTGCGAGAAATCTGGTGAATCAGTGAATCTGATCTCATTGCAATTGTTTTCAATACTCGGAAACTGTTTGAGATATTTTTTTATTAAAGATTTTAGGAAATCCGAAACTTCTTCAGAAGCTATTGAATACTTTATCAACGAGTAACGTGAACATTATCGTACCATCACACCTATCCCACTGTTGTAGTCAGACAGGCCTCCAACTGCCACAGTCCTTACATACTTCCTTCGCTTCATGTACGCCCGTTTATTCTTGGCTTTTTTGACCTGTTTTTTTTTTTTTAGCGACATACTTAATCTGCCCGTGGTATGTACCCTGAGGTCTATAGATTCGTTTATCTCCATAAATTTGTGTTATTTAACTAACAACACTCTATTCCATCTGGCCAAATCGTGGACTGGTGGTAACCCAGATGAATCCCTTTGGCAGGATGGACTGTATTGGTAGTTGCAGCATTTTTAGTAGTAGAGCTCCTTGTTCTAGAGTTCATCCAGGGAAGTGCTGCCACCTTACCTATTGCTGCCGCGAAACCGGTTATAAAGGGTAAAGATGCTGGGGAAATTACAGGAATATGGGACTTGTCAACTTATGTCTCAGGGTGACAGGCGCAATGGCAGTGCCCTTTAGATCTTTGTGATTTAAAGCTCTGATTAGCACTACAACAGTTATACATACGCGTGTCGCCTACCATCAGACGTATGACTTGTTCGTCTCGTTCCTTGGAATCATAAAAAAATCTTATAACTTTGTCCGTTCATGTTTTCCTATTGACGAAACCTTGGAAGCATGCGCTTTTCTCTCCTAGTTACCACATCATCTTTTACTCTACAACGTTCTGTTATTATACTGTTCATTCCATCTCCAAAAGGTACACCACATATTATACTGCGCAATGCACTAATTCTGCGCTTTTTTTAATCCGTTCAGGCTACCCATAAACAAGCTATAATTATTGCTTAACGTATCATTACTTATGTTGTTTTTTTTATTTCAGATGAGGGCGCAGCACTCGACGTGGCGTTGAGATGCGATCGAAGCAGCAGCCGAGACCTTCCTATCGCTGGCTCAACACTAACGAAAACGGTCTGTACACACGTGTTCATTTACACATTCATTTTCTTATTGCCCACGTTATTGGCTATAGCGAATTAAAGTGTGTCATGGACCCTGTTTAGTATGAATATTTTTATGTCATACGTAAGGAAATACGTGAAATCGTTAAATTGATTCAACTCTACGGCTCATTAGTAAGGTAGATTCCCCTGAGAAGAATTAGTAAGAAACAACAGGGTTGCTCTTTATAAATAGTAATTTGTAGTCGCTTATTCTTTTTCTACTTCCTGTCCTTATCCCACGCTAGGTGGGGTGGGCACAATATGTTTTTTTTTCCACACTCCCCTATCAGCCGTCATTTCCATACTCACACCTTTCTTATTCATGTTGTCTTTCACACAATCCATCCATCTTTTCTTTGGTCTTTCTTTTCCATTATATCCCTCCACATTCATGCCTAACACTCTTCTCGTCACACTACATCTATTATTTACAATAATGATTTCTTTTGTCACTAAGTAACTATGAAAGTTTTTGTTTTACTATATTTTTAAACCTCGTAATTAAACAGTTATCCTTCACTACATACATATCATCACACCTGTCTCTCGCCGGAGTAGGCAGAGACCATGGACCACCCTCTATCTCCTGACAAACCTCCTTCGCCTCCTCCATTCCCATCAGTTTCTTCCTACAAGCTCGAATTAAAGGTGAACTAATTATAACAGTATTCCTCTAAGCGAAATTGAAATATATTTATATGAGATTGAATACAGGAAATGGTATCCCAAAATGCTTTATATAGATGTGGAAAACACCTAAAATACAAAAAAGTAGAAAATATTACAGTAGACAAAGCAGTAGATAAAAACATATTAAGCATGACCTTAAATAAAAGCTTTGTTTACAGAATCAAGAATAAAGAGGGCGTGTTGATAATAAACATGAGAGTGGAGTAAACGAATGGGGGTTTATTAGGAACGTTGCGGGTAGATGTCTATAGTTTCGTTCTGGTAGACAGGCGTGATTTGTGTATATTTATTTATATAAAATTTAGAACTAAAAATTAGTAGCATGCGTAGCATGGCAGAATATGTGTGATAAATCTGCCCGTGACAATATTTATTTCAGTTGATAAATTTAAGTTTGCTTATTTGGTAATGAACTATTGTTATACATTTTGAAGAATAAGGACAACGGTATAAAATTGCGTACATAGCTATCTTTGTCGTTTGATCATCGCCGCGAAAACGATGACGATAGAAGTAGTGTGAAATATCGCGTCTGTTGGGTTCGGTGATAAATCAGGTCATCATCGTTGTAACTGGTAGTCTACTTTGACCGCCACCGCACCATCGGAACCGCCTCGTGTTCCACGACATTTGTCAGAGTCTCCTAATTACGACGTCAGCTAGAAGTTGAGGAAGTGCGCTGCTAAGGACAATACACGAGCACGAAATCCACCGTTTAGTATGGTTCAGTTGTTCAGCACTCCTGTCCATACAGTCCACTTCTCTTCTCAAAAGCGTCACAACGAACGAACCACCTATCAACCCGCTGGTATGCGGCGTGTACGATCATATAGCTTACTGCCACTACTACATTAATTAACTCCATGTTTTACGTGGACAAGTTTATTTCCATTTGTTTCCCACAATCTTATTGCAATTACATAATCCGTTTAAGTTATTCTTTCACGGTGTATCAACAACTTTGTTCAACATCAAATGTTACAACTTGTTTTATAGGCGTCTGTGTAAAAGTTCTTTAATATAAGGGAACATGGTTAGTAATTGAGTGTGAATAATTTTAACAGAATTACACATGTTGTATATGCTAATTTTCGTTAGGGTTCAGAGGTTTTAAAGTTAAGTTTAAAAATATAAATTAAGTGCTAACTACAAAGAAAACTTTGGCATGAAGATTATTATCAAAATGAATATGTGGTTGGGTAGTATTTCTTTTAACTATGTAATCAGTAAGATGTATACAAAAGCACAAATTGTAGTTTAGAAGAGGTGTAGGGTAGAAAAGGTACAGAATGGTAGGAAGAAACACAGAATGGTTGCTTCTGAAATCCGAGTTCGACAGCGAGAATCCATCTTTGTTATTTTTTCTATGTTACCTAGTGACGGCACCTTTTTTTTTTTTTTTTTTGAGGTGACGGCATCTACAAGTCGTGGGCCTGGTGGTAAGCAACACGCCTGTCCATGTGCCACTCAGAGCTTTAAATCGCAAAGATCTTAGGGTCACTGCCACTGTGCCCGTCACCCATATACATAAGATAGACATAAGTTGACAAGTCCCATGTGCCTGTAATTTCACCAGCACCCTTCGAAACCGGAACACAGTAATGCTCATATTACGGCTTGGCGGCAGAAATAGGTAAGGTAGCAAGTATTTCCCTGGACGACCTGTTTCACAAGGAGCTTTACTGCTACATCCACAAGAAGGAAAGTATAGTGATCATACCAGCACGGCGATGAGGGTTACCAAAGTCCATTGTGTGCTCAGACGTGGGAAGTTAGAAGTGCGATTGTAAAATATAAAAAATATGTACATGATTTGACTTCTACTGGTTAACAAAGAGGTGAACCTCGGAACCCTTGATGCGTGGTGGTTAAAAATTAAAACCGAACCCGACACCGTGACAGCCCTGAATATTCGAAATAACTAAAAATTGCAATAAATATAAAGTTACGGCCATAGAAAAAACCGGTGCGGACTCAAAATGTAATACCGCGTAATAACTCTTCGGTCTTTTTGTACGCTAAGCCACCGTGAAGCGATAAATAATATTTATTTTTGCTATTATACGCGTTTTTGTCAGTTGTAATGGGTGTAAGCGAGGGTTTTGTCTAGTACGGCTTTTAAGTAAGCGGTTCATTATTGCCTATATAGTTTAGTTATTTACAAATCATCACACTTCAACGCTGCCGTGAATATTTCCATTGATCAATTTTCAAGACTTCAGTAATATTGATGCACGTTGAATATGCAAGTGTTTTTGCTTCTATAATACTAGAGATGAGAGGACGAATGAGAGAAGATTGACGAAACAGATTTATGGGGCGAGTGTGAATGGGAAAGTTTGCAAGACGAAATTATTACCATCAAATGAAGACGTCTCTAAAGATGGCTGGTCAACTGTACCCTTAAATATAAAAGCATTGATAACAGCAAGTGGAAGGTTGTGGTCTCTGTCTACACTAATGGGAAAAAGGTGTGAAAAATATTCGTGTATATTTTTTATATCATTTTAAAAACGATTGTTTTATTATTTGGTGCAAGCGCTTCTGGAAAAGCAGTGCACTTTAAGGTTGTATTCAATTGCAGACCGAAGAAACTTAAAAACAAAGCGGTGGGTGGTAAACTAGTGGCCGAAAGGTCGTTTTGAATTCCGAGTTCGACAGTAAGAATCTTAATGTTCAAATACGAGAATGAGAAGCAAAATAAATACAACAATAACAATTCATTATGCGTCCGACAAAATTTTACGGGTATATAAAACTCAATGTTCTGCCTGTTATGCCTTACGAAGTCTAAGAGATCTGCTTTTTATTTTATAATACCACGTGATGGGACGCACAAACCGTCCCTTAACATCATGTGAGATAATGGCTAAGCGTGCACCTATGATATATTAATAAAATAAAATTAAAAACTGACATTCATTAGGCACGTTGTCACCCTCATCTTGACTTAACGTATTGATTGTAAGAAAAATTTTGTATATTTTTTCGTCAAAACTGATTTGGTGTGCTGTTTTCATGGCCCGCATTTGAAGTCGTTTGTCGCAGTAGTATTAGAATGTTTTTAAAGCCCCTCCCGTCCTCGTCCTGTCTGCTCATTATATCCAGGCAGTTAACATTTATTTACTACCTATAAAAAAAAGCTTTTTCATTAAGTCTTGCTAAATTATATTAATAAAGATATTGCTTACAATATTCTTGACAGTAATTGTCCGTATGTAAAGTAGATAGGAAGTAACCAGAACGTAAGTGGCCAGAAACTGAGTCAATACATATGTCTATACCGTCACGCCTGCCTTCTTTATTTTCGCCTCGTTAGCACGCATCGGTTTCTTTGCTACATGGAATCATCTCTTCGTATATGTCTGTTTATTCTTGGCTCCTGTAGAAGCCGTGGTAGCCCTATGTGGGCCTACCGCTCTGAAGCAGAGGCCGAGGGTTGAAATCCGAACTTGACCTCTGACTTTTTGGGAATTTATGAACTATAGACTTGTCGAGTTGTGGTTGAACGTGTGGTGGTTGAATTTATGGCCTACAACTTTCGCCTGAAAGGAGACCCATGCCCGGCAGTGATATAAATGGGTTGGTGATGATTTTTAGCACTTTTAACTTGGCCTTTTTTGAGGATATTTACACTCGGATCGAGATGTGCTGTGGTCTGTCTATCTCACACCACGTGTCCATCCACATTCGTTCTATAATCTTGTGCCGTCAATCTACTAACATCACCCTTTCTACATGACCCAGAATCTCACTATAACGCTCGCTTACTATGTTGTGAGTAACACCGCAATATTACACAAAGCTCTAATTTCTACAGCATTCATTCTACAGTTTCTGCCACTCCCAACACTCAATACCTCTCAAAGAGGTCATACACTAGAAAGAAAAATTAGTAAAAGGTATAAAAACATTATTTCTGTATCAAAATTACTACCACCAAATGAGTCTGAAGGAAGACTCTTCTTCCTGTCCATTGGACATAATATTTTTATAAAACAAACCTTCTGTATAGAAAATGGATAGCTATTCGAGTCTAATAATTAAAAAAGGAATTATTAAAACGATTACATCAGCTGCATCAAAATCACTATAGGAAAAAAAACAATATACCGTCCAAAAAAATGCATAGTTTTGTTTAATTTACGATCCATAGCGGGCTTGATTTACAATCGCTTTCTCCCTGACCCATTGTGTTGTGATTTGTGTGAATGTATTTAAAAAATTGTTACTCGTTACATTTTGTTCGTCTGTACTAGTTTGCAATTAGTTACAGGT